CATATTCTTTAACCTTCTCAGCCTCTTGCATCCTTAAAGTTTCGAACTCCCTTCTCAAATTCAAAACCTGCATGTTCCTTGTAATGTCACTTCCCATGAACTCTTCTCTCAACTTGTCCCATGATTCCTTAGCAGTTTCGCATGCCATAATCCTTGTAAAAACAAGGTCTGTGACTGCTGAGTGGATGTGGGACAGGGCTCTTGGAGCTCTTGATGCTTCCTCTTCATGCATTCGGATTTGATTAAGGGTAGGATTTGGTCCCAACTGAGGGGGTTGTCTCTCTTCCTCTACATACTGCCAGAGTCCTTGGCCCCTCAGGTAAGCCTTCATTTTAACTAACCAAATATGGTATTTTTCACCATTGAACACAGGAGGTAGAAGAGAAGCTGTTGGGGTAGTCATTTGCTCAAGAAGAAACATGTCTGATGCAAGGCAGTTTCCGAGTGGGCTGGATGAGATGTTTGGAGGAGAAAGTGTTTAGTTTTTGTTGGAATCAACTCAGCTCTGATACCATGTTAGTGTTTATGAGCTGGAGATAACTAAGAAAAGAATGAGAGCATAATCCGAATGAAGAAAAGTGCCTGAATTTTCTTGAGTTCAAAATGAGGTTACACTTCAACTAATAAAGCAGATTTTACACTATTACACCAACCATGCAGACATAAAATAACTTGATTTAATCTGAATCTACTGACTTAATACCAACTAAACAACAACTATGGAACACATCCCATATAATCTGGGACACATATCAAGCATTACAAAAATAAGTATAACTTTACAGTGTTACAAATGGACCCCTGGCAGATTGCCTTTCAATTTTACCGCCAAAAACATATTTGAAACATCATTTGAACTGCTGCATTTCCAGCCAAGTATCAACCTTCAACAAAATCCTCAACCACAAGACAAATTTGATGCAATCAGTGGCTATAATTGGCTGAATCGTAGCTCGGTCTCTACACTACAGTCGCCAATTAATCAGTACCACGGATCCAATTCCTCATACTCAAATGGCATTAGTAATGACTGTAATCTAGGGAGCTACGAATTCACTGGTGGGCTTGAAGATGTTGTGAATTCGCAAAGGAATGTCCGTAATCAATATCCTTGCGTGTTAGAAGATTGAGGTTGTTTGTATCTCTTACTGTCTTTCAAGTCAGTAGAGTAGTTGTATTAGTTGAAGTTTTTTGGTTAAAATGTATGGTGATCCTTATTTTAAGGAACTTTTGCTTCTTTATGTATGTTGTGCTTTAATTAAGGAATGGTGCGTTAGTTTTTTATATATTTTGTTAGTCATGTACATTGTATGAACATTAAGTGCTTGAAGATGTCGTGATTCACAAAGGAAAGTCCAGAATCAATATCCTTACGAAGTAGATGACTGACTCAGTCAGACATTGAAGCAATGGTTAAAGAGCTATCTTGAGGACTTTCCTCCAATAGCATTGGAAAATTAAATAGCGAAGGGGGATTATGTATTATGGTTATTGTTAAGATTCAAGTTGGTATATAAGAGGATGCTTGGATAGTTAGAAATTAGTTATAAGGAGCTATAATTAGTTGAAGTCGTTAAAAAGTGGTTAGTTGACAGTTATAAGCTTATTTCTTTGTATATAAACGAAATGTAACAAACTTTCTTTTCATCAATAATAATTCTCTCTTTTTCACGTTACTTGCCCCCAAATTAACATGGTATCAGAGCCACAATTCTAGGGCTTGAGGATTCTAGAAATTCACAAAGAACTTCACTCTATTCATCAATAATTTTTCAAACTATTTATCAGTTTCTTCTACACTGTTCATCTGTTTCATCAGCTTCGTCAGCTTCTTCTCCTCTGGATCTGTCTCATCAGCTTCATCAGCTTCTTCTCCTCTGGATTTCGTTTGTTAGAAATTTCTTCTCTGATCTCGTTTCATCTGATCAAGAAGCTATCATCTTCATTCTTCAAAAATGGCAACTGTTAGTGCAGATGGAGAAATACAGTCTTCTACGAATAATGGAAATGATCAATCAAGTTCATTAATCGATTTCAATCATCAACTTTATCTGCATCCTTTTGATACTCCAAGTACCATTCTTGTTTCTTTTCAATTGATTGGTGTTGATAATTACTCGTTATGGAGTAGATCTATGAGAATTTCATTGTTAGCCAAAAATAAGATTGGTTTTATTGATGGAACTTGTACAAAGGATAGCTTTCTAGTTAGTTTGCACAATCAATGGGATAGATGTAATGCTATAGTTCTCTCTTGGATCATGAATTCAGTTACTAAAGAACTTTTAAGTGGCGTCGTTTATGCGTCTAGTGCACATTTGGTATGGAAAGATTTCAAAGAAAGGTTTGATAAAGTGAATGGATCTAGAGTTTTCCAGTTGCATAGAGAAATTGTCACCTTAGTACAAGGAACTTCGTCCATCTCTACATATTTCTCCAAACTAAGAATGTTATGGGACGAATACTCATCTATTGTCCAGCTTCCTTCATGTGAGTGTTCTATGTCAAAAGTTTACGTAGATCACATGCAGAATCAAAAGTTACTCCAATTCTTGATGGGATTAAATGAAACTTACTTGCATGCTAGAAGCCAAATCCTCATGATGCAACCTCTACCATCTATCAACCAAGCCTACTCCATGCTCGTCACTGAAGAGAGCCAAAGAAATTTAACCAATGTTGTTGCTGTAGAATCATCATCTGAACCGACAGTATTCTATTATTCATCAAACCAACAATCAGTCAAACCTAAAAAGAATTGGAATATAACCTGTGAACATTGTCATGTGAAGGGACACAAAAAGGATAATTGCTATAGAATCACTGGCTATCCTGCTGATTTTAAGTTCACTAGAAGAAAGAATCCTACTCAATCTTTAGCAAATAACGTTACCTCTACTGAATCCTCTGATCACAATAGTTCCACAGCCCCTCAAAACAACACTCAAGCAGCAACTTCTCTAATCTTCTCTAAAGAACAGTATGCAGAAATACTGAAATTGCTCTAGAACGAACCCACATTACCTCCCTATGATGCACATGTCAACATGGTAGGTATTCACTCTTATTTTTCATCCGTTGATCATGGAGTTTGCTAGATATTAGACACAGGTGCTAGTCACCATATGACAGCTTCTTTAGACACTTTGAACAAATTGATGGGGACATCTTCTCCTTCCATAGTTAGGCTACCCAATAGACATCATTCAACCGTAACACATATTGGATCCTGTAACATTGGTCCATATCAAAAACTGACTAATGTCTTATTTGTGCCAGATTTCAAGTTTAATTTGATTTCTATATCAAAGCTCACCAAAGACTTATCTTGTTTTGTCAGTTTCTATCCTGATTTCTACATATTTTAGGGCCTCTCCAATGGCAAAATACTGAGGATTGGTAAAGAATTAGAGGGTCTCTACTTTTTCATGCCTTCTCATGCATCCAAGGCTAACATTTCTACTTTGAATAAAACCTTACCTGTTTCATGCTCAGTTTCTGTAAGCCAGCTTCAGCATAAACGTCTTGGTCATGTGCCATATGCAAAACTGAGATATTTTTTTTGGAATAAGAAATTTTAATTCTGATGATGCTGAATCCCATTATGATGTTTGTCCTCTTGTCAAGCATATAAGAAAGCTTTTTCCTATTAGCACTACAAGAGCTCCTGCATCTTTTCATTGTTGCATATGGATGTATGGGGACCATATCATACTCCTACACATAATCATCACATATTTTTTCTTACGGTGGTTGATGATCATTCTCGAGTTACTTGGGTTTTTCTCATGAAAAATAAGTATAAAGTTATAGTTCATATTAAGAGTTTTCTTACTCTTATCAAGAATCAATCCTCAGCCTCTGTCAAGACCATTCGAACAAATAATGGTTTGGAGTTTCTAAACTCTCAATGCTCGGCATTATTCACTTCACTTGGAATTATTCACCAGAAAACTTATGTATATACTCCCTAGCAGAATAGGGTAGTAGAAAGGAAGCATCGACACTTACTTAATGTTGTTAAAGCCTTGAGATTTTAGGCCTCCATTCCAATTAAATACTGGGGAGAATGCATACTCACAACTTGTTACATCATCAACCGGCTTCCTACTGATGTACTCCAGGGCAGTTCACCTCATCAAATACTTTTTGGTTCTCCTCCTTCTATTGATCACTTCAAGGTATTTGGATGCTTGGCATATGCATCTAATCTGAGCTCCAGAGTTAAATTCGGTTTCAAGTCCATCCCATCAGTTTTTATAGGTTATTCTTCAACCCAAAAGGGATACAAGTTACTCAACTTGCAGGATTTTAGCTTTTTTGTCAACCGTGATGTCAGATTTCTTGAGGACATTTTTCCCTTCCAGTTCCAGCAACATTCTCATGTTCCATTATTCCTCAGTGATCCTTTCAATAGCACATTTTATGATGACACTTTCATTGCTCCTATTAATTATGACACTCCTGATCCACCATCACCAGATTATACCTTCAGTCCAGGTCCTGCTGCTGATACTTCCAATGCTGTTCCTATTGATGCCTCGACACCAACACCATCCTCAGCTCTAGTACCTACTTCTGATGTTCCTTTAAACATCAGAAGTTCTACCAGATCACACAAACATCTAATCTAGTTGCAAGATTGTATCACCCCTTCAGCTCATTATTCCATTTCAGATGTTGTCTCTTATAATCATCTTTCTCCATATTACAGGTGTTTTCTTTCATCCATCTCTCGGATCAAAGAGCCTGTCTCGTTTGCCGAAGCTTCATAGGATCCTAATTGGATTGATGCAATACAAACTGAGATCAATGATTTAGAAGCCAACAAAAATTGGCAGTTTGTTCCTCTCCCAACAGGTAAACAGCCTATAGGCTGCAAATGGGTTTACAAAGTGAAATATAATTCTGATGGTACTTTAGAACGATACAAAGCCAGGCTTGTGGCCAAGGGCTACAACCAATAAGCTGGCATAGATTACACAGAAACATTCTCCCCGATGGCAAAGATGGTCATAGTTAGATCAGTTCTTGCCCTGGCTTCCATTCATGCTTGGCCACTCTTCCAACTTGATGTGTTTAATGCCTTCTTGCAAGGGGATCTCCATGAAGAGGTTTACATGTCTTTACCTCAAGGATTTGGCACTTAGGGGGAAAATCACACAATCTGTAGATTGCTCAAATCCTTGTATGGATTGAAGCAAGCAAGTAGGCAATGGAATCACAAACTTACTGAAGCTTTGATAAAAAATGGCTACTTGCAGAGTAAGTATGATTACTCATTGTTCACCAAAAGAGAAGGAAGCAACATAGTCATTATGCTTGTCTATGTTGATGACATTTTGATAACAGGGAGCTGCACTAAGATGATAGACCAATTGAAGTTTATACTGCAGGATAACTTCAAAATCAAAGACCTTGGTCACCTTAAATACTTTCTTGGAATTGAAGTTGCTAGGTCCTCTGAAGGAATTGTTTTGAACTAGAGAAAATATGCACTGGAATTAATTTCGAAGGCTGGATTGTCTGCTGCAAAACCTGTTGACACTCCTCTAGAACAACATTCAAAACTGAATTCATATGAGTTTGATCAAAGATTTCCACCTGATGAAAAGGATGAACTGCTGACAGATCCTAGCATGTTCAGGAGGATGGTGGGAAGGTTATTATATCTAACCATGACCAGGCCAGATATTTCATTTGCTATCCAGAATTTAAGTCAACACATGCAGACTCCTAAACAATCACATCTAGAAGCAGCATTGAGAGTCATAAGATATATGAAAAAGGAACCAGCTCTTGGGTTGATTATGTCCGCAAAAAGTACAAAAGATTTAACAGCATTTTGTGACTCAGATTGGGCCTCTTGTGCCGTTAGTAGAAAATCGGTATCAGGATACTGCATTAAGATGGGAGATTCTCTTCTGTCTTGGAAATCAAAGAAGCAAAATACTATAGCAAGATCATCTGCAGAAGCAGAATATAGAAGCATGGCTGGAACTGTTGCAGAAATAGTTTGGTTAACTGGTTTACTTAAAGAGCTTGATGATGAAGCCAATATTCCAGTGTTGCTCTACTGTGATAATAAGTCAGCATGACAAATTGCAGTAAACCCTGTGTTTCATGAGAGAACAAAACATATAGAGATAGATTGTCATTTTATAAGAGAGAAGATTCAAAGTGGTTTGATCATCACAAAATACATACCAACTAGAGAACAACTTGCAGATGTGATGACGAAAGGATTAGGAAGATTACAGCATGAGAAGCTTCTGTCCAAGTTATGCTTGAAAAATATTCATAAGATGCCAACTTGAGGGGGAGTGTTAAGATTCAAGTTGGTATATAGGAGGATGCTTGGATAGTTAGAAATTAGTTATAATGAGTTGTAATTAGTTGAAGTCATTAAAAGGTGGTTAGTTGACAGTTATAAGCTTATTTCTTGTATATAAACGAAATGTAACAGACTTTCTTTTCATCAATAATAATTCTCTCTTTTTCACGTTACTTGCCCCCAAATTAACAGTTATGAACACTGTAGACTGCTTTGCTATATTCTAATTATTATGAGTTTTGTAATTGTCGACAATAATGGTCACATACTTTTGGATCTTGTTTCAAACACTTTGAAAAAATTCAGCTTGTCAATTATATTTATATCTAAGTATGGCTTAGTTTTGGAAACTTCAAGTATTGTTTAATGGGAATGTTGTTCATATGTCCAGGTATTAAAATTCCATTGAGGAAATTGTTAAGAACAAAATCATATTTCCTTCTCTCTCTCCTTTTTTGTTTTTAGTTAATGATTAATCACAAACTTGAATTTTTCCCTTGTAAATCTAAGATGAGGATCCAATGTCTGGAAATATTTTTGCAGTTCAAATATAACCATTAAGAAGGCAGTAATAGCAAGGGAAAAGGTTTGTTTCGTTTTCCCGAGGAGTGGGGACACCCCATTAAAACATAAACAAAATCCACCATCACTGTAATTTGGCAATGTTTATTTCCAGTGTATTTTATTCATATTCCTCAATTATTAGCAAAAGGTAGTGGTTCTTCATTGAATGATGTTGCTCATATCAGGTATATGGCTGACATAAATTTAACTAGCTTTTGTCAGGAACAGGACATTATAGTTTTGAGTTTTAACTTTCTAGCCTTTGTTCCAAGAGCCCATCTATATACATAAATAAACCTCACTGCATGCAGCACGGTGGTTTGATTTGGAGTGGAAGAAGCTCATTATAATTTTCCATGATGGAGGTTTCCTTTAGTCTTCAGATTGATTTAATAACAATAAGCAACTTCTTCTCATTTCTGCGGTAGAAAATCAAAATCCCAATACTTGTAGTAGACAACATGATAACCCCAAAATTTGAGCTTTTAATCAGGATTTAGAATATGAAACTGTTAGGATCTCATATTGGAAGAGAAAATAGTAGGCATGTCGGTTATAAAGGCTTGAGCACTCTCCTTTAACAAAGTGGTTTTAAAAAAAGAGTTTTATCCAAGCCCATGAATGACTCATTGCCGCCCCAATTGTTTGAGTTGTTAGAGTGCAACACCCAAGAGGGTTGTGGAAGCGTGGTGAAATGTTTTGGAAGGAAAAAAAGGCTTAGACATCCTCCTTGGCACGGTTTTTTAAGTAGAGTTTTATCCAAACCTATGATACATCCATTGCTCATCCCAATTGTTTGAATTGTTGGAGTAGGTTTCTATCATAAACATATTAATTATTAAAAATAACCAGGATGTAGAAGACATAAATGTTGTAAGTTTTAGTCCCCTTGCCAAGGAAGTAGACAGACGAAAGTGGATGATCGATAGTGGGGTAACGGTGGAACAAATGGGTCGGGTTAGACGGGTTGACCCTAACCCAGCCCGCATTAAAGAGGGTTCAACTCGGACTGCCAACGGGTTGAACCCAACCCGCATGCAACCCCCTGGCGGGCCGGGTTGCCATATGGCAACCTGGCAACTCGCGAGTTGCTGTTTTGTCCTTTTTGAGAAAGGACTGCCAACCCGTCGGGTTGACCCGTCACTTTAACCCTTGAAACCCATTGGGTTGCCATATGGATACGACCCAAGAAGGCTGAAGAAGACTCCTACCCTCTCTGGCTCACTGACTAGCTAGCTTACCTAAAGCCCTGACCTGATGGAAAAACTTTTTATGCTGGCTTGAGATGCTACTACTTGAAATGCTTAAAAGACTCCTGCTCTTTCACGAGCTTTCGAGCTATATTTTCAATACTTGTGTTTTGTTTTCAAGCGGGCTTGCGCATATGATCCAATTACTTTCTTGAACTAGCTTGCTTAGTGGATAGAACGGAACCGGCCTAGACCGCCACCCAGCTATCCAATTTAGAACTCATTTGTTTTCACTACAATCTTCCTACTTTCTGATGGTACAGCCCGGAGAGAAAAGTAAATAGCTTGCAGAAGATCCATATCCATTGCTAGCTGGATTGAGAGGAGTGCTTTCCCGTCCACCTAGGCTCAAAAGAGGAATGCTTGTACCTACTTACTATATGGACCTATTCCCTATCCCTTTAATGCTTTCTGGTTTGAAAAGAAGGAGACTTCTAGACTTGCTCACACTTGGTTAAGGAAACTGGCAGCCAGGCACTCGCTCTCTGGCAGGAGGAAGGTATTCTAAGATAGGAAGGCATTAGCAATGGTGATTATCCTTGGGACCAGAAAGGATCCTTTTGGTAGCGATGCTTCAACTAACTCTCCATGCCATCTGAGTGGGAAGGTCTTTCAGGGCATAAGAAAAAGAAAGAAAAAAGGTTGAAGCTTTCATAGTTGAATTCAGTGGTAGATTCAATACGAAAAAGTTGTTATTATAATAGTAAGAAATAGGAGACTAAGAGTACCTGCCAATGGTAATATCTTAAATAAGAGTACCGTGCACTAAGGCGTGGTGCATTCCCCTGGCTCGTACCAAAACAGCTGAAGATCAAAACTTCTATCTGGGCTAGTGCCGTTAGGGCAATTTCAACAATAGAATCTATTCTGCCAGGCGCATCTGGGGCGATAACGGTTTCAGTGGCAGTTGAAGTTTTCCGGATATAGTAGTTTCATTTGTCCCGGTGTAAGAAGTATAAGACTGAAGATTCCTACGGGCCCTAAGTCGCATTATGGGAACAATCGAGCTCATAGTGGAAGTCTTTGCCGGAGGTGGATTTCTTCAGTTGGAGTTTCGGGCATTAAAGTTTGTATTATTATGTAATGGGTATAGTCTAATAAAGATTTCTATTGGGCATGCAACACTCCCAGAATAACACCCTTGCAGATTAGAACTTATCTATTGGAGGTAAGAAAAAGGAGGCATTTTCCGGCTAGACAAGTTAGGCTTTTCCGTTCTCAACCAATAAGGAGGAATAGGCGGAGAGAACTGCCCAAGGCCAAGGCTATCAGGAGGGCGTAGCTTTCAAAGTGAAGGAGTTGTCCCTCAGAGATCTAGTGGGGAAAATATATTGCTGCGTAATCACCGTACCCTTAAGACTATGTACATCTTAACTTAACAAGTACTAACATTAAGAGAGTCACTTGTGCTCAGACAAAGAGACTAGGAAGTAAGGGTGGATTCTTGGGTCGTATCCAGATGGCATGTATACCCCCATAAGAGTACCCGATTAGGGGTAATGCCTATCTATCCCTTTTATAGCAGGCCTCATCAGCCCTATCGAGAAGGATAGAAAGCCGGAAAGTGCAACTACTTTCCGGTGACCGAATAGTCTTTAGACTCGTAAGGGATTACCAGAGAGTGAATAAACTCGAAGGGCCTTAGAATAAATTACACTAGCAGCAGCAGAAGTGGATGGATCAGCCTTAGGAGTGACTTCCGTGACGTACCCAACAACTTCGACACCGCTGAGGTAAGGACCTTTATTTAATGAAAAATCCTAGATTGAAGCAAACCTTGTTATGAAAACCTGTGTATTAAGCACAGGTCGCTCCAGAAACAGCGGGGAGAACACTTTTAGGGGATGTGGGGTTGGGTAACCACTTGGCCTCAAAGGGACGTAGCTAGACCCTTTAAATCCGAGACGGGAAGTAGCATAACACAAAGATCCATGGGTTTCCCCGGAAGAGGAAGTTCAGAAGCTCATAAAATGGCAATTCTTCACGNGGATGATTGTACCCGATATTCATGGATTTATGCCACATAAAAATTCAGTCTTTTCTTGTTTCACTCGGTTTATGGCTTTTTTGGAAAATCCATTTGGTATGACACTCAAGATCTTTCAGAGTGATGGTGGTCAGAAATCTGATAACTCTAGTTTTCGCAGTCTTTGTGATGAAAAAGGGATTCACCATCGTTTTTCTTGTCTAAAGACACCACAGCAGAATGGTTTGGTTGAACGTAAACATCGCCATATTTCTGAGATGGGCTGTACGTTAATGATTGCATCCTCTATACCTCTTTATTTTGATTTTGATTTTTGGGCAGAAGCTATTTGCACTTCTATCTTTTTGGGAAAGCGGTTGCCTACGCTTACTTTGGGATGGTATGGAGAATGGACTGCTATCACTCGTCTACAAACAGACCCTCCCTTGTCTTAACATAATTACCAAATCAATTCCTACTGCCACAGCTCGTCCCTTCCCATGGTATGGTAGGCTAAGCCGGAACGAGAGAAATGCGCTTACGCCTTTTGTTCACACCAAGACTGAACCATGTGAAAGGAAAGCTAGTCGAACTAGAACGGGAAGGATTACAGCTAAGCTAAAACCAGATTCTATAACAGCAAAAGTAGCACTGCCTTTTTTCTCTTATACCGCTCCTGCCTTGCTTCTTACCCCTCAGGGGAGGATCCTTTTCTATTTTATTGCCTGGCAAGTTCATTGCCTGCTTGGTTTCCTCAAACCACTTACCGGTAAAAAGAACATAGCCAAGCCAATTCGGCTATTTGTTGGCATTCCATTCAGAGTGAGAGTTCCTTTCCATTCGACACAGGAAAGCAAGTTCCCTTTCTATCTTAGTTACGGGAGGTTGAGATCCAACCAGCTGCATTTCTCATTCCAAGAATGAAGACAAGGAACCAAGCAACAACTTGGACTGAGAACTTCGTTCCTTGCTTGTAAGCTCGATCAATGTCTAGGCATCTTCTAGAATTGATTGATTGGGAAAGCTGGTTCCAAGCAAGGATTTCTGCAGGACGGCTAATGCTTTCAATTAGTGGTTTCACTTACAAGTAGTGGATCAACTCTTCCTTCCTTAAACCAAAACCTAACTCCTAACTCTTTCAATCATGACTCACGCAACATCCCGATCATGGTGAAGTCACTAATGAAATTCCCCCACCCAAAAGCCAAAAGCAGTCGTTCACAGGACTCAGAGAAAGACTAGCTACGCCTTCTCTCCATCCTTAGAAGGAAAGTCAAATCCTAGGAGCAAGGGTACATCTGAAATAGGTTATGATTCCCATCGAAAAGCCCTGCCTTCGCCTTGAATTGATTTGATTGAATAGGACCAGAGTCGATTAGTCAGCTTTGCCTTGTTGATAGGCTAAAGCATAGCAGCTCGAGAACTCACGAAATGAAGAGTTCATGTCACGAACTAAAGATACTACGTGACGCTTCCTTCATATGCAGATACAAGGGCCCAACCCATTATGACTAGTGAAGGCTCCTTTTTTTATAGTAATATATTCAGTAATAATAGTAAGGTCAAGAAGAAAGGCTAAAAACAAGCAACGAACTAAACAAGCGCAAACGAAGCGTCTTGCTCCTCTATAGAAGCTAATACCAGTTTCCCATCAGGAATGAATTGTTAGTTCAAATCAGATAACAAAATCAAATCGGAAAGTTTCATAAGAGGCGATGAGACAAGTTAATCGACTTGTTTGTGAGCCGTGGAAGCAAATTTAGGGCGTCATAATGATGAGAGAAAGAGAAGAAATGTGGTCATCTATTGAACTCTGTAATTCCTATTTTAAATAACAGTTAAGAGAATGTACAAGCAACTGCTGCTAGATTGATGAGATGTTTCTTAAATCCTTAGTAATAATTCAAAGTACTGATCAGTTTCTCACAGTTACCCTTAGGCTACTTACAGAAAATCAGCTTTAGCATTTGTGCAAGGACAAATAACAGTTTAACGAATCTCTCAGCTTGAAGAGCAACAAAATCATGAATCTTGTCAGTAATTACATGGATCATTGAATGGCAGAACCCAAGGAAGTACAAACGAAAAGAACAGACTTCTACTACTCAGAATAAATTTGTTTCTTCAAATCCTGCCAAGGTCGAGGGCCTTACAGATGTTGATTTACAAAACGCTTCATGAATGTGTTATCTGAGCATGTAATGAGAGTACTCAAGGCAAACATAGGTACCGCCTTTCCTTGTTCTGTGAGCCAATTATACATCGATAGCCTAAGGTTGATCCTCTGCATTGAATAGTTTAGAAATGATGGGTATGACAATAAAGATGATATGGGATGACCCAAATCATGCACAAGAAAATCGATTTTCGCTTCAATGACATTCTTTTTCTGGCTAAGAATTTCAAGGGACACTAATCATTTCTGAAACATCCTTTCTATCTTACCCAGCATTCACAATACAATCAAATCTCTCCTAAAACTCCTCTCATCTGCCTCGAAAAGCCTTGACTGTTCTTTCCGTTGCACATGGATTCTGTATCAATCCCACATCCTCCAAGAACTTAGCCTTCACCATTAGAGATCTTTCTCTGTCTCTTGACCTCGGTAATCGTTCAACTTTTGAACCCCTAACTACATTTTTCAGATTGTTTTATGGCAACCTGTTCATTCACCTTGGGTGAAGGTGAACACAAATGTCAGTGTTTCAAGAAGCTGATATTGCAGAAACTGAAGGTTGGTCAAATCTCCAGATAGAAAGTGTCTCTACGGATCTGGTTAATGGTATTAAGAAGAAACATATTGATGCTCCCGCACAAACTCAAACATCGTTGGAATAGATTTCTCCAGCATACAGATTCTATGAATATTGAATGTTCTCCAACATCGTTCAGGGTTTTGGTAATCTCTCATTTACTACCTAGAAATTGTTGCTAGTATCAAGCAAAAATGTCTAGGGACAATGGCCCTTAAGCAAAATCATATCTATTCTTCATGGGAATGAACTGTTAGTTTTGAATCAAATAACCAAATCAAATCAGAAAGTTTCATAAGAGGCGATGAGACAAGTTAATCGAACTGTTTGTGAAACGTGGAAACAAATTTAGGGAGTCATAATGACGAGAGAGAGAGAAGAAATGTGGTCATCTATTGAACCCTGTAATACCTATCTTAAATAACAGTTAAGAGGATGTACAAGAACGAATACTGCTATTAGGTTGATGAGATGTTCTTAAATCCTTGGTAATGATTCAAAGTACTGATCAGTTTCTCACAGTTTCACTTAGGCTACTTACAGAAAATCAGCTTCAGCATTTGTGCAAGGACAAATAACAGTTTGATGAATCTCTCAGCTTGAAGAGCAACAAAATCATGAATCTTGTCAGCAATTACTTGGATCATTGAATGGCAGAACCCAAGGAAGTACAAACCACAAGAACAGACTTCTACTCTGCTCAGAATAAATTTGTTTCTTCACCTGCCAAACTCGAGGGCCTTCCAGATGCTGATTTACAAAATGCTTCATGAATGTGTTATCCGAGGATGTAATGAGAGTACTAAAGGCAAACATAGGTTCCACCTTTCGTTGTTCTGTAAGCCAATTATACGTCGATAAACTAAGCTTGATCCTCTGCATTGAATAGTTTAGATATGATGGGAATGGCAATAAAGATGATATGGGATAACCCAAATCATGCACAAGAAAATCGATTTTTGCTTCAATGACATTCTTTTTCTGGTTAAGAATTTCAGGGGACACTCTAATCATTTCAGAAACATCTTTTCTATCTAAGCCAACATTCAGAATTCAATAAAATCTCTCCTGAAACTCCTATCCTCTGCCTCGAAAAGCCTTGACTATTCTTTCCGTTGCACATGGATTCTGTATTAATCCCACGTCCTCCAAGAACTTAGTCTTCACCATTATCGATCTTTCTCTGTCTCGTGACCTTGGTAATCGTTCAACTTTTGAACCCCTAACTACATTTTTCAGATTGTTGGGATTCCCCTGGATGCATTCACAAAGTCGCTTCTTCCCAACATTCAACAAGTGAAAAATGCTACTAGTTTTCTTTAAAGTACATGTACGCAGCAACATGGAATGAGATCGGAAAATCTTACCAATCTCATCCATCTCCATGTCAATCTCATAAAAGAACATAAAGCATTCCTTCAAATTTGTAAAAAATCTTCCCACTGGAATTTGTGGGGACTGCAGTAAAGTCAAACGAACTTCATCCAGAGTAGACCCAAATTTTAATAAAAGTCCTATCAGAGTAAGTGCTCCATCCCCTGAAACCTCCAAGAGCAGTCCTGGATGTCGCTGGATTAATTTACTTAACTGCTCCTCACACAATCCCATCTCGCTAAATAAGCTTAAAAGCCTAAGCATTTTACTCCAATTATAAGAATTCTGGTCCATCGAGTGCTCCTCAATCAAACTGATTTTAACCCCTATACTCTTCAATGTCTCTAACACCTTAACAAACTCCATATTTACATCCCCAATCAAGATATAAGGACTATAGACGACGACTTTACCAATAATACTCTGACCAATCCCCAGTTTCTCATAAGCTTGAAGCTTCAATGACAAAACTCCAAAATCATATCGAAAAATGTTCCTTGCCTCCTTATAGATCTTCCCTATATTTTTTCTCTCAACAACATAATTACACAAAACATAATAGTTCTCTAGCAACAAATTATCGTCACTCAAGAACATCAAATTGCGAGGAAGAAAAGGACTATACTCACTAGGTTTCAATCCTATACTCTCAAAGAAAGGCCCAAATTCGTTAATAGGATGATACCGCAAAAACCGAGAAATAATCACCTTCAAATCCAACTCCTCCTCCACCCATTTTAATAGCCATTCGACAAAATAAGGTGAGATTTTGCTCATATTCTCAGCATCCAAAAACTGTAAATTCCCAGTCAAGTGCAAATACTCCAACAATGCAACTTGAGCTGCCTTCCAAGCAGCAGAAGATAGTTTACTAACATAATTAGAATCACTACTAGCCGGTGAAATTCTAACTTTATTTTCAATATTTGCATTCTAAACCCCTCTTTTTCTTCCATGAAGTCTAGAGTTTTGAGTAATGTAAACAGACCCAGATGGCCGAAATGGTGTCTTTGATATGGAAATGAAGTTTTCAACTAAAGAAACCCTTTGAGAATAGATGTTCTAAGTTTCTACAGATGGGTCATAACCACTGTGATCAAATATACATAAAAAGCAACAAAAGGAGAAATTAAGCTGGATGAAAATGAATATGCAGTATCTCGCCTTAGAGTTTTATATATTTTTTTTTGTTGGATTTAGCTTTAACTGAAAGAAAGACTGAAGCTTTCGCAGGAAGATTCAGTGCGAGCTTCAGTGCCCTTCATGAGAGTTTAGTCGCAAGGGTTTTGGATGATGAAGCTTAAAGATGGGCGTTTAGTAATTTAGAACAGTATGAAAAAATAGTCACGCTCCGAGGGTTTGTAAATATATCAATTAAATCCCCTATGGCCGAGTTAATTGTCGTGTTTCAAGCTGCTGACAATTTAGGGGTGTTCAAAAGAATCGATTGGAATCGGAACCGACGGGTACCCTGGGTTTGGTTTTGGTTCCTACCCAGAACCAATCGTCAATGGGTATGTTCCGGTTCCAAATTTTTGGAACCGGAATCAAGAACCAGGAACCGAGACTAATATAAAATAAAATTAAAGAATATGGGGGTTAATAAAAACTTTTGTAAAAAAAGTAATGTGAATACATTTATATTTATATTTCATAACATTTAAAGTAAGTTGGTTTGACTTTTGAGAATCTACCTTTACAAAGCAATGGAGTTTGTAATTTTGAATTTACAACTTGTAATTTTATTTTTGTTAATAAGTGCCAGGTGGGGGGGCATTTGTAAGTTTTAAGCTTTTTTTGCCATTTTAAAAACTTTTGGGGTGTCCTTGTGATTTTACAGGGTACCCAGAACCAAAACCGGAACAAGAACCATTGTTACAGGTTCTGGTTCTGGGTACCTAGGAACTGGAACCGTCGGTTTCGATTCTGGTTCCAAATTTTAAGGAACCGTCGATTCCGATTCTGGTTTCTTTAAAAAGTGCAGGGTACCTAGAACCGAACACCCCTAACTGACATTGTAGTAACTGAAGGTTGATCAAGTCTCTGGATAGAAAGTGACTCTAGGGATGTGGTTAATGGTATTAGAAGAAACATATTGGTGCTCCCGCGCAGCTCAAACATCATTGGAATAGATTTCTCCAACAGATGAGTCTATGAATATTGAATGTTATCCAACATCGTTCAGGGTTTTGCTAATGAGTTTAATGAGCTTGAGTTTAAATTCACTCTTCCATTCATACTTCTAATTTACTAATTTTTGTTTTCTTACAGATACACCCCCAAACTGTCCTTTCAATTACCCCACTGTTTCAAAAAATTCACACTCGTCTCCCCAACTGTTCTTTAGTGTGACAATGGATATATTATGTATTTTATCGTGTCTCTTCAAGGAATTTGTTTAAACTACTAAAATACAAACTTTTAATGATACATTACAAACTACAAGAACAGACTTCTACTGCTCAGAATAAATTTCATTCTTCAAATCCGGCCAAACTTGAGGGCCTTCCGGATGCTGATTTACATATCGCTTAATGAAGGTGTTATCCGAGCATTCCATAAGAGTTCTTAAGGCCAACATAGGTTCTGCCTTTCCTTGTTCCGTAAGCCAACTATACATCGATAACCTAAGCTTGATCTTCTGCATTGTATAGTTTAGATATGATGGGAATGGCAATAAAGATGATATGGGATAACCTAAATCATGCACAAGAAAATCGATTTTTGCTTCAATGTCCTTCCTTTTCTGGTTAATAATTTGAGGGGACACTCTAATCATTTCAGAAACATCCTCTCTATCTAAGCCAGCATTCACAATACAATCAAATCTCTCCTGAAGCTCCTCTCCTGTCCCTCGAAAATGCTTGACTACTCTTTCTGTTTCATTTGGATTCTGTATTAATCCCACGTCCTCCAACAACTTAGCCTTCACCATTAGAGATCTTGCTCTCTCTTTTGACCTCGGTAATTTTTCAATTTTTGAACCCCTAACTAGAATTTTCAGATTGTTGGGATTCTCCTGGACGTATTCACAAAGTCGCTTCTTCCCAGCATTCAACATCTGAAAAATACTACTAGTTCTCTTTAAAGTACATGTACCCAGCAACATGGAATGAGATCGGAAAATCTTACCAATCTCATCCATCTCCATGTCAATCTCGAAAAAGAACATAAAGCATTTCTTCAAATTTGTAAAAAATCTTCCCACTGGAATTTGTGGGGACTGCAGTAAAGTCAAACGAACTTCATCCAGAGTAGACCCAAATTTTAATAAAAGTCCTATCAGAGCAAGTGCTCCATCCCCTGAACCCTCCAAGAGCAGTCCTGGATGCCGCCGGATTAATTTACCTAACTGCTTCTCACACAATCCCATCTCGCTAAATAAGCTTAAAAGCCTAAGCATATTACTCCAATTATAAGAATTCTGGTCCATCGAGTGCTCCTCAATCAAACTGAATTTAACCCCTATACTCTTCAATGTCTCTAACACCTTAACAAACTCCATATTTACATCCCCAATCAAGATATAAGGACTATAGACGATAACTTTACCAATAATACTCTGACTAAGCCCCAGTTTCTCATAAGCTTGAAGCTTCGATGACAGAACTCCAAAATCATATTGAAAAATGTCCCTTGCCTCCTTATAGATCTTCCCTATATTTTTTCTCTCAACACCATAATTACACAAAACATAATAGTTCTCTAGCAACAAATCATCGTCACTCAAGAACATCAAATTGCGAGGAAGAAAAGGACTATACTCACTAGGTTTCAATCCTATACTCTCAAAGAAAGGCTCAAATTCGTTAATAGGATGATAACGCAAAAACCGAGAAATAATCTCCTTCAAATCCAACTCCTCCTCCACCCATTTTAATAACCTTTCGACAAAATAAGGCGAGTTTTTGCTCATATTCTCAGCATCCAAGAACTGTAAATTTCTAGTCAAGTGCAAATACTCCAACAATGCAGCTTGAGCTGCCTTCCAAGCAGCAGAATATAGTTCACTAAAATATTTAGAATCACTACTAGCTGGTGAAATTCTAACTTTATTTTCAATATTCGCATTCTCAACCCCTCTTTTTGTTCCATAAAGTCTAGAGTTTTGAGCAATGTAAACAGACCCAGATGGCCAAAATGGTGTCTTTGATACGGAAATGAATTTTTCAACTAAATTTAAAGAAACCCATCTGAGAATAGATGTTCTTCCAAGTTTCTGCAAATGGGTCATAACCACTGTGATCAAATATACATAAAAAGCAACAAAAGGAGAAATTAAGCTGGATGAAAATAAATATGCAGTATCTGACCTTGGAGTTTTATTTGTTGGGTTTAGCGTTAACTGAGAAGAAAGACTGAAGCTTTCGCAGGAAGATTCAGTGCCCTTCGTGGGTGTAGGGTTTAGTCACCATGGTTTTGCCGTTTTGGATGATGAAGCTCAAAGATGGGCGTTTGGTAATTTGGGACAGTGTGATAAATATTTTCACGCCCCAAAGGTGTTTAAAAATATCAATTAAATCCCCTGATGAAGTTTTGAACTTTGAATACATAAATAAGGCTGAATAACATTTTTCCACACTAGGTTTGGGGAATTTACTTTTATACGCCAGGCTTCAATATTAATTTAACAAAAGAGTGGTTAGCAATATTTAGTCATTCTTCAGAGGGGTTTTGAATTTGAAAAGAATATTGGGAAAGAAAATTACTTTATTGTATTTTCTTATCTTCAAAGAAAAAGCTTGAAGGAAGTTAAAAAAATTCACCATTTAAAAAATAATTTTAAAGGCATTGATTTTACCATGTAAGTCAAATTAATAATTTTCAAGATTTTACCATGTATGTGAAGACTTTTTCATAAACAACTTTTGTATGTCCCTTTTTTTTTTTTAAATATTGAAAATGCTTGAAAAAAAAAAATTCAAAAACACAAAAAAAAAGGGAATAAAAAACACGAAATTAATCACCTCCACACCAATAAAACTCCGTCAAACTATCACTTATTTTGTTCATTTCAAAGAGTTTGTCTCAAATATATTAGTTGTTGATTTTTTTTTGTAGTTTTGTGCTAAAAAATTTGATTAGAAACGAAAATTATTATTTTAAAAGAGAAAAAGGTAAAGAAGAAAATAAAATATATAGGCTCTGTTTGTTTAAGTTTTTATAATAATATTTTATTCTGAATATGATTTAATCAAATATGATAGAATTTTGAACATGTGTTTGGTACAATTTTTGGAAAATATTTTCTGAAAATATTTAGTTTTTTTAACCCCCTATATTTGTTAATTTGACTAAACACCCCCACAATAATAGTTTATAAATTAACAAAAACACTCTCACCCACCCAACCATTGTCGACAATCGATTACCACAGTCGGACAGTGATCTGACCAGTTGTGCTTCTATCTGGCATTTTCATGCCAGATCTACGACTAAAGATCTAGCCGTTGATGACGACCATATCTTAGCCATCGTCGACGACCAAACGACGGCTAGAAATAAATTATGAGTGGACTTAAACAATGAAACCTCTACCAATAAGAACAACAATATATTTGACTATTTGGCTAACCCTTTGAGGATTAAGTGAAAGTATATCTTAATTTATTTATTATAAATATAAATGGAAACCGACTTCCAACCACTCTCTATATATTAGATTTATCTATTAAACAACAATCATCACTCTGAAATATATAAATATGAAATGTGTAAGGATTGAAAATAGCTACAAAATATTAGGTATGTGATTGAGACATTGTTTTAGACTTTTCGTTTCGTAGAAGGAAAGATGATTTTATCTTCATAGTTTTTTTCCTTATGATGTTGCAATAAACAAAATTTCAATGGGCATTTTCTAAGTAGCTTAAATCAGGTGGTAACATCTCATTTGATGAATTTAGAAGCTGGTGCCCTATATATTCTCCAACTATTGCAATTGTTTTGCTCAAACTCTTAAGTTCTCCTTGGTTATTCTAGATAGGAAAAATCTTTAGTAGAACGAGCATATAGCGTTAATCCGTTGGTTTTTTTTTCTTTCTTGTTGGAACAACTCTTTAGCAGAACGGATGTGCTACATCAATGAGCGTGGTTTGAACAAGCACGATGATCAGACGGGTTTATTTCCCATGGGAGGAAAATTGTTTGGCAGAATGGATCTACAACATCAGAGCGTATGACTTAAACATATCTCATGGTTGGACATGATTGAAGACTTCAATTCCCTCCTATTGCTAATTTATTCTTTTACATCTTTTATTTATATAGGGAAAATTTTACAAACCATTCCAAATATTTGCCTTAATATGAGGTGCATGCACATTTATTATACAACTTAAAAAAAAAAAAAAAAATGGTGGTCGGAATCTAGTACTGCAGGTGGTGGGAGTGTTTTTGTCATTTAATATATTAGGATGTTTAGTTAAATTTACAAACCTATGGGGTTTTTTTTATAAATTTTAAATTTTACCTCGTAATACTCTCCTATTCAACTATCCAATATTATTTTCAAAATCCTATCCAAAATAATAAAACAAACGGATCCAACAATATCCGGTTTCCAATTTTACGGTCCCTAAATCCAAATTTCCAATTTCACTTGTTCTTCCATCCAACCGACAGAATTACACACCAATTCCACCTACAAACTGCCATCCTCATTCTCTCAACTATGCAAACGTCGATCGAATCACAAACTCGTGTGCAAACTGCAATCTTCATTTAGTTTAAAATCAATTTCAGAATTTTAGTTGAATGAGGCGAAGGTTTGATTGAACTTATTCTTATTTTTCTTGTTGATTTCTCCCTTTTTTTCTTAAATTGTGCTATGATGTTTTATTTTCATATGATTCACTACTTCAACAGCTCTAAAGAATTGTAACCATCCATTCTTATGAGTTGTCAAGCCACCAAAATTTCCTAAACCTGATGTTGCAGGAGAATTACCAAATGGGTTCGCCGAAGAAACAAAAAACAAAGGCTTTATTGCATCTTGGTGTCCCCAAATGGCATAGAATCTCCAGATTTGATTTGGCTAGTTCGATTTGGACCTTGTTCGGCCAGATTGCGGCAGCCAGGGCCTTCTTGGCCGTCAAGTAAAATAAGAGGGAGGGGAAGGAAAAAAGAAGGAAGAAGATGAAGTGAAGAAATCAGAGACGAAGAATAGAGGAAGGAAGAAGAAAAAGAACAGGAGAGAACTGAGAAGAAAGTTACAAAAGAGAGCGGGTAAGTGATAGAAGAAAGAAGAAAGTGACGAAGAGAAAGAGAAAAAAAAAAGTATATTTCTATGAGTAAACAGAAATAATTGTGACGATAAGTTAAAAAATTAGAGCAGGTATAGATCATTGACTTGGAAAGCTTAAATGCGTCAATGATTAATGACTTAAATAATTTGTTTCAAATTTAAAATTAAAATTCCAATTTTTGAAACAACTTTGATTAAGTCTTGCTAATATTTAATACTTGTGATCACGTATGAATGTCCTTCAACAATACGCTTTCACCTAAATTCAAACAATTCATAGTAAAAAAATATACAAGATCACATAAACTTGTTATATGTCACTTTAATCACGGAAGAAAAAAGAAAAAAGAAAACTAAAATGATTTCTATATCATAATTTAAGTTCAGTAATATCAAGAATACTGGCTCTCAAACTTTCATCCAAGCCATTTCAATATGGACCCTCAAATAACCAGCTTTTCCGGTAACTCCATTGATGCAGAGCCAAGATATTATAAGTCAAGGTCATCGATAACAAGTCAACGTTCTAATCAAACAACCTCGGCACAGGTAAGTGAATGATCAATTAATCTAATCTCTTCCTCAAAATTTTCATTTTGCAATCTCCTAGTAATGTCTTCGGATGATCGGAAGTCAGTAACCATTCGATTATGGTATCCTTAAGTTATTGTTAAAGGATACCAACTCTTCTGTACCAGTACTGATAGCTGAATACTGGTTTGGTTTGATTTGCCAGTCAACTCTTTTTAGGATTCATTAAAAGAGAATTGCTGAATGCTTGTTATTTCCTAAGAGCGAATTATTAAAAATAAAAATATATTTATCAGTTCTATTTTTAATGGGATTTATACAATCCGTTGGATTTTTTTATTTTCAAATTCTGTAAATAAATACAGGGGATTTTTTATTTGATGTGTATCTATCTATCTATTTTTGTTTTGTTTTTAAGTTTCTAATTGTTTAACCTTAATGGCTAAGGGAACATGGGGTATGATATTACTCAGAATGCATGTTGTTGTTTTTGTAAATCAGCCCAAGAATCCTTGGATCATCTTTTCTTCGCATGTGCTTTCACAAAGTCCATTTGGAGTCGTGTTCTTGCGGTCTCTTCTCTTGGTTATAGGGAGGTGCCTTGGCATGACTATGTTAATTTCTTGTCCATGAATTGAAAGAGAAACAAACTCAAGTATGCCATAGGTAAATTATGCTTGGGTGCTACGGTCTATTTCATTTGGAGGGAGTGGAACAATAGATTTTTTAAGGGGGATTTTATGGATGCTTGGACAATTCACAACCACATTTGGAACATGGTGAAAGATAGGGCAATGGACCTCAACAAAATGAAATCTTCCATGGCCAATAGAAGACTTGTGAAGATTTGGGGATTATTTATGACTATCTTCAAAACCAATATGTGAGGAACATGGGTTTTCCTAATACAAGGCTTGTCCTGAGGTAGGAATGAAGTTGTATATAGCTGTTCTTAGTTTTTTTTTTTTTTTTTAATCCTATCCTAGGGCATGTCCTGTGGTAGGATGTCTTTGTCTTTGTGATCCTTTGCTTGCTCCTCTCCCCTTGTCTCCTATCCTTCGTGTGCTTTAAGATAGACAAACAAAAGGAGATTAGGTTCTTAGTCTTGTTTAGGTTTTCTTTTTAATCCTATCTCAGGGCATGTCCTGTGGGATGTCTTTGTCTTTGCGTTCCTTTGCTTGCTCCTCTTCCCTTGTCTCCTATCTTTCGCGTGCTTAAGATAGACAAACAAAAGAAGATTAGGTTCTTAGTCTATTAGGCTTGTGTTTTTGTTCTTATCCTAAGGCTTGTCTTGAGGTAGGATAGCCGGTTTTTTTATATTATGGGTCTCTCTATAGCTTTCTCTCTTTAATTATACTACTTACCAAAAAAAAAGAAGAAAAAAAAAACTAAGGTTTTACCAAAAAAGTCAGGAGTCGGAAAAAAATATATAGGTTTGGAGGATGAATAATAAACTATTATGGGACAACGCCGGTGCAAATTAGTTGCAAATGGAGGTTGTTAGTACGCTGTTTTACAAATGTGTTCTACAACGGGCCGAAGTGGCCCCCGTTTTTCCGCCCGTCCGCCCGTGGGTTAAGTGTGGTTGGGGTTATCCTATCGTTGATGGCACGGTCAAAAACCGAATTAGCCAGGT